GCTCAGGATCTGCAGATGCAGGAGCCCAGGGAGGGAAAGCAAGTTTCATCTACTGCAGAAATGACTGGAGGGTGCGGTGATTGGTTATTAATGTCTGCTGTGGAAGGAGGTGGTGGCATATTTGCCATCCCAGAGGTAGGCTTAGTTGAACAAGGGGAAGTCTTCTGTCCTGTGTGTTTTTCATTGTACATTCTCAATAAACAGCCATTTGTGAATGGCACACCTGGCTGTCCGCCTCTGTGGGAATATAGGTATATGCATATGGTTTATTTGATCAGTCCATGAACCAGAATACCTCATTTTCCAACCATTTTAGGTTCCAGGAATTGTTGGAAAAGACAAAGCTTTAGCTCTTTTACATCTTGAACAACATTATGACATCAGCATGGTGACGATGATGATCAGACACATCATCATCATCAGCGCCATCATCATCAACATCACCATCACCACAACCCTCATCAACAGCACCACAACAGCACCAGCAACATTATCATCACCACCATCAACATTACCATCACCCCCTTCACCATCATCCTTATCATCAATGGTGTCATCATCGTCATCATTCATCATCATCATCGTCACCGTGGGAGCAGCTAGTGCTTATATACAGCATCCTATGTGCCAGGCTATGTTCAAAGGCTTTAAATACATTAACCCATGTTATTCTCACACTATCTCTATGAAATAAGTACTAGCAGTATGCGTATTTTACAGATAAACAAACGGAGGTTAAATAATATGCCCAGGCTATACAGGCAGGATTTGAACCCAGGCAGTCTGGCCCCAAAGTCAATGCTTTAACCCCTATGCTGACCTTAACAGAGACTGTTCACACGTTCTTCTCAGAACAGAAAGCCACAGACAGGAATGACCACCTGCAGAAACACAGTGTGGAGAAACCTGGGCTCTAGTTCCCACTCAGGAAAGACCCTGCCCCCTGAGGCCTCCGTTTTCCCATCTGTAAACCAAGGAGGTGAACCTCTGGACGGTCTCCCAGCTCCCTTGGGCCACCATGGCACTGGTACCCCTTCAGATTTCAAAGCCCCTGGATGTCTCTGCATAGTTCTCCCAGGGAAACCAGCAGGGATCTGATGCTTCTTGGTGTTTATGTGTTGGGGATGGGAGGTATACATGTGAGCACTCCGGCAGGCTCCCTCGATTCAAATTGATGATTGCAATGGGTCCCCAGGGATGAGAAAACCCAAGTGCTAGCAGGACAGGGTCCATGCAGGTCTCCAGGATCCATGCCAGCACTCACTCAAGAGAGTTTAGGGAGCCCGTAATCAAAAGGTGTCCTCCTCTTGGTTCCTAACCATTGTTCTCATACTGTTAACACAGCAAGTCAACAGGCACTGATTCATGACATATACTACCCTAAATCTGTTATCAGGAATTTCCAGCTCATGCAGCCACACCAGACCACAAGCTCCTGGAGAGTAAGGACTACCTTACGTTGCACCTTAACTATCACCTCCCAGGTACGCAGCACTCAGGGATTTTCAAAGGTCTTCGCCATTCATAGTCTCATTTGAGCCTGAAACCACTCTGACAACTAGTGAGAACAGATGATGATGATGATGGTGATGGTGATGATATTGATGATGATGATGATGGTGGTGATGATAATGATTGATGTGATGATGATGATGGTGATGATGATGGTGATATTGATGGTGATGATGATGGTGGTGATGATGATGGTGGTGGTGATGATGGTGATGGTGATGATGATGGTGGATGGTAATGATGATGGTGATGGTGATGATGATAATGATTGATATGATGATGATGGTGATGATAATGATGATGATGGTGATGGTGATGGTGATAATGATGGTGGTGATGGTGATGATGATGGTGGATGATAATGATGATGGTGATGGTGATGATGGTGATAATGATGATGGTGATGATAATGGTAACGATGATGGTGATGCTGCTGATGACAGATTACGGTGATGACCCTACCATCTGTATATCGAGCACACCCTGCGAAGTGAGTGCCTACTGTGTATTGGATGCCAGCCCCCAGTACACAACACTGTGCCTCACTCCATCTTCAGGCTGACCTGTGATGGGGAGTATTTTTGGCTCACACAACCAAAGGAGAAACTGAGGCTCAGTGAGGGGAGATCACCACCCAAATGTTCACATGAGAGGTGGCCTGCAACCCAGTTTCCCCTTGCAGAGGCCATCTTGTCCCTGCTCTTCTCTCTCATTACACAGGGTCAAGAGGACGCCAGGGCCAGAACAAGCCCTTCCACAGACCCCACGGTCCACACTCCCCTCTGTGGATACCTTACAGTTTGCTCATCTAATGTGAAGTCCAGTCTGGGCAAAGGAGAGCCAACTCCGACTAAACGTTTTCTGCACACCCGTTTTAGCACCAGGCCCTGCCCCATGAGCTGGGAACATGGCAACAAATGTAAAAGGTCCTCTCTAATTGAGGAGCTCACTGGGTGCTCCTGGGGTCATGGCCTGAGTTTGACAGCTTCAGCATGGTGGCCTCAACAGCAAGCTCATGGTGGGCCCTCAATGAATGAGCGCACAATTCAGTGGGGGACGAAGACAAGTAATTACGACTCAGAGTCAGAAGAGTGATGACGGAGGGAAGCCCAGGAGCCTCTGGGAGCAGGGTAGGTACCTAATGCAGCCTAGCATGCATGTGTGTGTGTGTCTGTCTATATAAGTGGAGGTATCAGGGAAGGCTTCCTAGAGGAGCCAAATCTAAAGAATGTTCAGCCTTTAGATTTAGGCATTATACAGAAAGAGGGTAAAGAGCTCCAGGCAGGTGGGAAATCGGAGCTGGGGCTCACAAACAGAACAACCTAGTGTGTGTGCGTGTGTGTATGTGTGTGTGTGTGTGCGTGTGTGTGTGTGTGTGTGCGCACGCGTGTGCCAGGACAGAGGTGTTTCCGGATGTGAAGGGTGGAAGCCCAAATTTGACTGGAGAGATAAGGAGACCCCTGCAGTTCCTGAAGCACATTCACAAGCCTCCTCTTGTCTCATCTTCACACCCGGCAGGAAAAAACAATTTCCTTTTCTAGCAGATGAGAACATGAAGCCTGCAGAGCCAGTGAGCCGCAGAGCTGGGCTCGGGACAAGAGTCTGACTCCTAACTCAGGGATCAAGCAGAGTGGGGAGTTAAAGCTGAACTCTGGAAAATTTTAGGGAAAAAGGTGGGGCCTCCTAGATAGGGAACAGCAGGAGAGGGCCTAAGGAGGAGCTGGGCTGGGGGAGGAAAAGGCCAGGTCAGTGGCTTAAACCAGCAGAGATGGGGGGTCAACATGGCCCTGCCTTGCCAGAACACTTGGTCTGGGAGGCAGAGTAGCGGGTCAGAAAGTGGTCACACAGCCTCGTATGTACCACTTGAACCAGCAAGCTAGCGTCTGGCCCTACCAGTGGCCGGCCAGCCACCCCACCAGGCTTCTCACTCATGGCCTCCTCTGCGTGCCTCCAGCCTGGCCTCCTTCCAGAGGTCTGTGGGTAGGCGCCAGCTCCCTGCTTTGGGTTCTGGGCCCTGAGAGTGCCAGGAATATGACCCAAACAGGCATGACCCAGGGCGATGTTATTTGCCCAGCACTCAGCCTTAAATAAATGCTCAACAAACATGATGGATAAACACCACCAGCATCCCAGGGAGGCATGGCTGCTCTCCCACAGAACTCTAGCCCTGTAGACGCCTTTTACAGAAAGAACAGGGACCCGTCTTATGCTCACTTGCCACTTTCCTAATACAAATATCAAACTTGGAAAAATTCAGCTGGCAGGGCCCAGGGAGAAGAAAACGAGATGTCAGAGTCATTGAGTGGGAGTCACAAGACCTGGCTGTCAGTCCTGGTCAGGTCACGGGTCACTGTGTACGTGAGGACCTTGCAAAAGATGGTTTTCCTCTCTGAGCCTCGGCTCTCATCATTTATACAATGGGTGCAGACACGGAAGACTGGGGTCAGTGACGCCATCCAGGGATGTATGTTCATCTCAGAGAGAGCTATCTCCAGCCCCCAGATGCCCAGTCCTGCCCCAGACCCATGGTGTGAGGATGGCCATGCAGACTCTCATGGGCAAAAGCTCCCAAGGTTCCAATGAGCTTGGAGGGTCCCCGTGCCAAACATAGCCAGGGGACATTTCTTTTCCCTCTGACTTTCAGCCTGCTAGGGAAGCAGTTTCTAATGTCAGGAGGTCTAACCAGCACGCCAGGTGAAGGGTAGAAAGACTGGACAGACAGACAGATGGTGCAAATCTACCAGTGTCTGTCCAAGCACTGGAGCTTGAGACAGGAGATCTATAGGGTGGTTTTGAACTTGGCATCGGGAACCTGGGGGGTTGGGGTAGACCCAGGTCTCTGCACTCCACCCCCATATAGCCAGTCAAGGACACATGCACAAATACATCAGTCAATGCTTCATTTTAATTTCTTTTTTCTTTCTTTCTTTTTTTTGAGACAGAGTGTTGCTCTGTCACCCAGGCTGAAGTGCAGTGGCACGATCTCTGCTCACTGCAACCTCTGCCTCCTAGGTTCAAGTGATTCTCCTGCCTCAGCTTCATGAGTAGCTGAGATTCACGAGGCACTCACCACCACACCCGGCTGACGTTTTTTGTATTTTTAGTAGAGACAGGGTTTTGCCATGTTGGCCAGGCTGGTCTCAAACTCTTGACCTCAGGTGATCCACCCACCTTGACCTCCCAAAGTGCTGAGATTACAGGCATGAGCCATGGCACCCAGTCAATTTCTTAAAAAAAAATGAAAAGTTTCAAGCCCAGTCGAGAATCAGACACCCCATCACTCCAACTGCACCCTTCCAGGGAAGCAGCCAGCATTCCCGAAAAGTTCACTGCCTCCCTCCCAAGGCCGAGAGAAGCCTGTGCTGTCAGCCACCACAATGGTGGTGCTGGAGGCTCCGCCCTGGCTGGTGATGAATGGGGTGGGCATCGGACACCTACAGCAGCCCTGGCAGTGCAGGGTCTGGCTGGGAGGGCCGGGTTGGACTCACCTTCACACTGCCTGCCTTCCCCCTTGTAGCCTGGCTTGCAGAGGCATTTGTAGGACTTGGGCGTGTTCTGACAGATGGCATCGATGTGGCAGTCGTCCGTGCCCTCCGAGCATTCGTCCACGTCGACTGACCCTGTGGGTAGGGGTGTGGGGGAAACAAGAAGTAAGGTGTGGCCCCGGAGGAGGCGGCCGATGGTGTGGGGCAAGGAGGCTCTTGCCTCTGCCTGTCCATTGATCAGTGCGCTCAGTGGCAATAACAACTGTCATACAGAACAATCTGATGTGACAAGTGGCAACTGGTAGCATCATTGGCGCAGCTCCTCTGTGGCAGAGACAATGCTACCAATATGCTTGGCCTTATTTACTGTTGCAACAATCTGGTTGAGCTAGTGCTCCACTAAAAAGATGAAAAAACTGAGGCTTAAGGAGACAGTGGCGAAGAACCTCCTCCAGGCGCCCTGCTCTCCACAGCCCTCCTCCATGCTCCTCACTCTAGAATTTACAGCCAGAAGGGTCCTCGGAGGAATTTAAATCCAGCCCCTTTGGGTTTCAGATGGGGACACCGAGGCCATGCCAGGGGGCTCCTGCAGGTCACCTGAACCTGGGACCCCACCCTGCCCCTAGGCTGTGGAAATATGGAATTCATCATCTGCCTTCCATGGCCCCGCACCAGTGTCCGGTGGCAGAAGCACACCCGCAACTAGGCTAACCTGAGCCCGTCCATGGTTTTGACTCCTCCCACCACCCTCCTTCCTTGGAAATCCACAGGTGAATCTGGTTCTCATAGCCCAACTTCTAAATGCAAGTTCAGTTTAGGTTTTGAGGGCTCCCAACACTCTCCACCTCCCACCCTGAACATCTTCAGTCTGGTATAGCTGTTGGAGCAAAATCGTGCAAAACAGATTCTGTGTATCTGTTCCATCCATACATCCCAAACCTCTCTCCCTCCCTCCCTCCCTCTCTCTCTCTCTCTCTCTCTCTCTCTCACACACACACACACACACACACACACACACACACACACACAGTTCAGGCAGGGAGGGGACCTTCCTCTTGTCACGCACAGTTCAGCACAGTCAGAGCCATAGCTATAGCCCAGGTTAATTCCTCAGGTTATAGATAAGGAAACTGAGGCCCAGATGGGTTCTGTCATGGATCAGTAGCTCACTGGGGCAGAGAATGGACTCAGACACAGAATAAGCTTTCCTATATGCCATGTGACTTCTAGCTAGCAATGCATGAAATGCAGATGGATGACAGACAGACAGAAGGACCCAGGAGTGCAACAGCAGCAGCCATGAGGGCAGCCCCTCCAGGGGTGAGCTCAGAATGTCCCCATTTCTTCATGCCTCTGGTCTCCCTTAGATTGTTGGGTCCCCTGAGTATCTAAATTTCTCCCCTGGATAATATCTGGGTTTGAATCTGCCAGTGGGGCTTATGAGATCCATGCCCCCTAGGGGTCCTCCTTCTTTGCCCCAGTCCCCAAGTCTCCTTCCCACCCCTGAAGGAAGAGAGGCATCAAACAGAAACACAACAGCATGACCGCCCTGCCCACACATGGCAGGTGGTATCAATTTTCAGGGGGGCTGCATCTGCTCAGGTGGGCAGCCTGTCCCTGACAACTGCCCAGAGGAAGAGTGGAAAGGGGACCAGGAGGCAGGGACTAGAGGGGACCCAGCTGGCAACTGGATGGCTGGTCCAGCAGGAACATCCATGAGCGCCTTCTGGGAAAGTGTCAACAGAGGGACTTCTGTGCAGGGGTGGCACTGCCTCTAGGGCTGGGAACCAGAGGTCAGAGAGGGCCCATCTCTATGCTTCTGTTTGGGAGGACTGGTGTCACTTCTGAGACAGGACCAGCAGGAATAGCAGGCCACAGATATGGCTCTTCCCACTTCGCCGGGACCAGTGCATGGGAATGAGGGGTGGGAGCCCCTCGTGCCCCCACCCCCAATCTCCCACCTAGCCCGGTATCTTCACTGGGATGGAAATAGGTGGATGTGGATGAGGGTGGGTGAAGCTGGCTCCCAATGCACCTTTAAACACGTGGGTGTTCTCGGTGTGGAGAAGGCATGGGAGTTTGAGGAGACAGGAGGAGGAGCCACTTGTCCCCACTGGTCCTCTGCCAGCTCCGGCTCCTGTCTGGGCTGGAGACTTCCATGCAGGGTGGCCCATCCCTCCCAGCACTGGAGTCAAAGGGAGCTCCCTTTGACTCTGGTTTGCTTATGCTGGGGACAGGCTGCTGGAGTTACACAGTCACGGGGCTTCCACCGAGAGGGTGGGGGAGGAGACAGAGGCAGACACAGACGAGGGACACAGGTGTTGACAGGGACACCCAGAAACAGTCACTCAGAGGTAAGGGACCTCAAAGCTTGAGAGAGACACCCACAAAGGGGATGGGGCAGCAGGGCTGGGCTTCCAGGAGAGGTGTTGCTATGGAGGGGTCTCACTGGCCCAGCAGCCCCACTCTGGGCACGCGCGACTCCCAGGAACAGACCCTAGTCACCCAAACCAGACTTCAGGGAGCCGGGAAGAACGTGCACAACCCTCCCCCTGCCCCCGCTCCAAGCAGAGCACCGGAGGAAGCGCCTCTGATGACGCAGAGGAGAGAATGTCACTCCAGCTTTTCGGCAAGCCCCTGCAGACAGCAAGAGAGGAGGGGACGGGTGGGACGTCGAGGGGGTCCCCGCGAAAGCCACGGGGCTGGGCCTGTGGCCTCCGGGCCTCCCCTCCCCCTCCTGGGTCTGCTCCACCGACGTCCCGAGTCCGGACTCTTCTCTCCGTGTCTGTCCGTCTCCTCTGCTTTCCTTCCCTCTTCTCTCCTCCCCGTCCTGTCAGACGGTTCGTCGTCCACGGCTTTCCAGGCATCTCCGTCCCTCTCTCTTTCCCAGTCTCCCTCCGCTGCCCGCCCCCCCCCCACTCCATCTTTCTCTGGCATCCATCTGTCCCGCGTCTCCTCCTCTCTCCCTTATCGGTGGGACCGTCCCTCGTCCCTCTTGATTCCTTCTGGTCCCTGGGCCTCCTCCTCCCTCCCTCGGGTCCCCTCCTTCCCCGGCCGCGCGAGCCTCCTCTCCACCCTTCCGCGTCGGTCTTTTCCCCCGGCCTCCTCCTGCGTCCTTTTGTCTCTGCTCCCTCTGCGCCGGTTCTTCTGTCCGTCTGCCCAGCACCTCCTGCCCCGTCCCTGTCTCTCGGTCGGTCCCTTTCCCGTTCACCTCCCGGCGTGTCCCCTCCGCCCGCCCCGCCCTGCCCCGCGCCCCCTCTCCCGGGAGGAGCGACCCCTCTGCGCTCGGGGTCCCACCCCGCCCCGGTCCGCAGGCCGGGCCCCCGGGACCCGCCGCCTTTCTTCCTCGCTCCCCCGCTAGTATTTCCCCTCCCGGGGCCCCGACCCACCCACCCGCCCCCGCCCCGCTGGGCTAAGGAGCCCCGGCCGCCCAGGCTGCGGGGAGGGGGCGCCCCGGGCCGGCCCCAGAAGTTACTTTGGAAAGAGGTGGGGGGCTGCGCGAGGCCGTGCGGTGCGAGCTCGGGATGCGCGGGGAAGGAGCCTCCCGGACGGCGCCTCGGCCACCCGCGCCCCCCACTCCCACCGCCTCCCCCCAGCCCGGGTCGGGGGCTTACCTGGGAGCCCGCTGCCCCCCGCCAGGCGCCCGCGCGCGCCCAGGGCCAGCAGCACGTACAAGTGCCAGCGCACAGCCGCCGCGCCCATGCTCAATGCGGGCCCGGCTGGGCGTGCGGGCGTGCGGGGCGCGGGGACCCGACCGACCGGCCGCTCCCGCAGGCGCTGCTCGCTGCTCGCCGCTCAGCCACCGCTCGGGCTCCCGAGCCGCCCAGCCGGCCCGGCTGACGAGCTGACAGCGCGTGCTCATTGGCCAGCGGCGCCGGGGGGCGGGGCGTCGCGCAGGGCCGGCCAATGGGTGCCGGCCGACGGCCCGCGGTGGAGGGGGAGAGGGGGGTGCGGGCGTCCTGGGGGGGCCCCTCCCCTGGGGCGGTCGGCAGGTGGGGGGTGGGGGTGGGAGCCCGGCCGGCCGGCTCGTGGGGCTGCGGGCGCGGGGTCTCGGCCAGGCTGGGGCTGCTCGGAGGCTGCGCCCTCCCCTGCCCCCGGCACCCCGGCCCTAGCCGTCCAGGGTGGACGCCCCCCGACTGGGGTAGCCCATTCCCTCCCGGCCGCACCCTCGGGGGCGGGGGTCCTGCGAGCCGGGGGTCCTGCGAGGTCGCCCGCCACCCGTTTGCAGGGAAACGCGCCCGCGCGCAGAGCAGACTCGTCCGCGCCGCGGTTCACTGGATGTTTTCTGAGCACCTACTGGGGGCCGAGCGCGGGCGAGGCAGCAGCCAGCGAACCGGGCGGGGAAACGCGTGCAGATTGCTTAAACATTCACCTTCAGAACAAACCAACTTATCTTTTTAAATTTATTTATTTATTTATTTTTTATTGCATTTTAGGTTTTGGGGCACATGTGAAGAACATGCACGATTGTTGCATAGGTACACACGTGGCAGTGTGATTTGCTGCCTTCCTCCCCTTCACCTATATCTGGCATTTCTCCCCATGCTATCTCTCCCCAACTCCTCACTCCCCGCTGTCCCTCCCCTATTTCCCCCCAACAGACCCCAGTGTGTGATGCTCCCCTCCCTGTGTCCATGTGTTCTCATTGTTCAACACCAGCCTATGAGTGAGAACAGGCGGACAAACCAACTTTTTAGCACTCGCCGAAGGACAGTGGCGGGTCAGTGCGCTGGTCAGGAGGCGGCCGCCGGACGCGCGTCTGGAATGGGGCGCCCGGGGCGGACAATACCCCTAGGCGGCGGGTCCCGGGCGAGGCCCCGCATGGGGCTGACCTCCGCCTGCGAAGTTCGCAGCCGGGAATGCGAGGCCGGGGCCTCCCCAGTGACAGACCCAGCGGGGCCAGGAGGAGGGGCGGCGCTGGCATTGCGGTCGGTCGGAAGACCCAGGAAGGGCTCTGGCCTGGCCTGGGGTTTACACCTGACGCCTGGCGAGGTTCGAGGTTCGGGCTCGGGTCTGGTCCCACCCCGCCTGGGAGGGAGGCGCGGCTGGAAACAAATGGCCCCTCTCAGCTCCGGGCAGGACGCTTTAAGGGAAGAAAGTTCAGCAAACCCCAAGGCCCATCTCCTTGACAACCACCAATAAGAGCTCCTTTTTTCTTCTCCTGCTCTCCAACCCCGACTCAAAGACAACACTTTTCTCTTTTTTGTCCACTCGGCCGGCACCAGTTTCAGACCCTCCACACCAGCTCCCTTTCCTGCCACCAACACACACACATGCACACACACACACACACACACCCCATCACACATGCAGACAGCCTCTCACACACCCTCACACCCTCCAGCACACACACACTCACACATGAGCTGGGACAGTGGAGGCCAAAGGCTGCTGAATTGCATAGTGACCTTGGCAGGGAGCACACTACGGCTCCTGTCACCTCCAAACGACCTGCATGTTCTCTACAAGGCAAAGAAGGCACCACTTGCCCCTCTGCAGCAGTCCCAGCCTCACCAAACTGCTGCAAAGGGAACCTCACACAAGTCCTATTTTTCACACCCCAGAGCTTGCATCCCTTACCCTACCAGGACCACCTTTGGTTTCCCTTCTTCAGGGCACCCCCACCTCCTCTTCTGCCCACACCCTGCCCCCTGCCCCCAGCTGGGCGTGCAGCCTCCTTTGGGCTCCCACGGTCCCTTGCAGTTGCCTCATCAGAGCCTGGCTCGCCCTGGGTTTTACATCTCTCTCCTCCTAGACCGGGCTCCCAAGGGCAGGGCTTACAAATGAAATATATCTGAGGCCACAGCTCCTAGTTGGGACTGAAGAAATTATTGTTGAATGAATGAATGAACAAATGAACAAAGAAACAAGACAGACGTCATTTAACCGGTAATTCTTATCACTCTGGGGAAAAGGAGCAAGAAGCCAGAGGAGAATTTAAGCCAAATATTTGTCTATTTGATGGGACCTTCGGAGTGAATCCAACTGCCTGCTCCATCCTGTCCACCACCACCTCTACTGCTTGGGGGGATGCTGGTCCAGCCAGCAGGATGGCAGTTCTCAGGGGCCCAGAGTGGCTGACCTGGGGCCCTTTGGCTCCCCCTGGTGACACCTCACACAGGTCTAAGTGGAAGAGGAGGCAGAGGAGGTGAGCTCCTCTCTTCCTTCCTCCCAGGCACACTCTTGGACCCAACTCCAGTGGCTGACTCTGCTCAGCAATGGGAAAGCCAGAAGCCCTGCACCCAGCAGGTCTGCCTCCAGACCACACCCAGTAACCTTGGCTAAATCTACTGACACCTCTGTGGGTTCAGGTTCCTCCTCTGTATAGGTGACTAACACACCTTAGAGTTGTCGGGAAGATTCAACACAGCAGAAATGGTGTGGAACCTCTCCAAACCTCAGGTTTCTCAGCAGTAACATGAGAGTGACGCTAGCTAGTGTTTTTCACTCACCTGTGGGGAGGATTCAGTGAGATTTTGTACATAAAGCCCTTAGGACCATGATTATGACTATTATTAGATGATTATTCTCACTACTACTATCACTGCTGCTAGTACTGATACTCTTACACATAGTAGCAGATGGCAGTAATATACAACCAGTTAAGAACATCTTGGCCTGGTGCAGTGGCTCACGCCTATAATCCCACACTTTGGGAAGCTGAGGCGGGTGGATCACCTGAGGTTGGGAGTTCGAGACCAGCCTGACCAACATGGAGAAACCCGTCTCTACTAAAAATACAAAATTAGCAGGGCATGGGACATGGTGGCACATGCCTGTAATCCCAGATACTCGGGAGGCTGAGGCAGGAGAATTGCTTGAACTTGGGAGGCAGAGGTTGCGGTGAGCCAAGACTGTGCCATTGCACTCCAGCCCGGGCAACAAGAATGAAACTCTTTTTTAAAAAAAAAAAATCTTACATTTTAAAAACTTCCTCATGAAGAATTTCCTTGCTTAATAACAGTTGTGGAAGTTCTTTCAGAAAACAAAGTTCTCTGCAAGCATAAAATGTTATTACGTAGATGTCAAGTCTCCATCTTTATTCCTTTAGATGCTCTTGTCTTCCTTTTTTTCTTTTCTTTTTTTTGAGACAGAGTCTGGCTCTGTTACCCAGGGTGGAGTGCAATGGCACAATCTCGGCTCACTGTGACCTCCGCCTCCTGGGTCCAAGTGATTTTCATGCCTCAGCCTCTCGAGTAGCTGAGATTACAGGCACGCCCCACCACACCAGGCTTTTTTTTTTTTTTTTTTTTTTTTTTTTCTTTTTAGTAGAGACAGGGTTTCACCATGTTTCCCAGGCTGGTCTTGAACTCCTGAGCTAAGGCAATCTGCCCACTTCGGCCTCCCAAAGTGCTGGGATTATAGGCATGAGCCACTGCTTCCAGGTATCTTTTTAAAAATTAAAAGTGAAATTGCATAATAGCCTCCTGTGGTTGTACACATTTTTAGACTTTCAAGGGTAGACTTTTTTTTTTTTATCCCTAAATGAACTTTGGCCACACAGGCCCATCTCTTGGCCTGATCTGTCAAAGTGAGAGTCTTAGTTCCCAGGAACCCACGTTCCAGATCCTGAAGCATCCCACCTGAGTTGTGTCACTCAGCATATTGTGACCTGTCACTGCTGCCTTCTTCCCGAGGGGTAACAATAGCTGACATGTGTTGAGAGTTATATGTACCAGGCACTCCGCTGAGATGTCCCAGGCATTATATCTTTTAAGCCTGTGAAGCTATCTCCACTTCACATCTGCAGAGATGGGGACTCAGGCTGCCTGCCCAGGGTCCCAGTGCCAGCAAGTGGCAAAGGTGGGATTTGAACCCAGGTCTGTGTGACCCCCCCACGTCACACTCTTTACCATTCCTCTTTAATGAAACAGACTCACAGACTCAAAGGGCTGAGGGGTGTGGGGTGGTAGGATGCTCCTCGTTGTAATGCTTCAAGTTTTACTTTCTTAGTTTAGATATTGGGAAAAGCGGTTTTTATGTAGTGGCTGATATGGTTTGAATTTGTGTTCCCACCTGTGTTAGTCCGTTTTCACGCTGCTGATAAAGACATACCTGAGAATGAGCAATTTACAAAAGCAAGAGGTTCAACTGGACTTACAGTTCCACGTGGCTGGGGAAGCCTCCCAATCATGGTGGAAGGCAAGGAGGAGCAAGTCCCGTCTTACGTGGATGGCAGCAGGCAAAGAGAGAATGAGGAAGATGCAAAAGCGGAAACTCCTGATAAATCCATCAGATCTCATGAGACTTATTCACTACCATGAGAATAATATGGGGGGAACCACCCCCATGATTCAATTATCTCCCACCAGTTCCCTCCCACAACATGTGGGAATTATGGGAATACCATTCAAGATGAGATTTGGGTGGGAGGACAGAACCAAACCATATCACCACCTAAATCTCACGTCCAGTTGTAATCTCCAGTGTGGGAGGAGGAAGGGCCTGATGGGAGGTGACTGGATCACGGGGGCGGATTTCCCCCTTGCTGTTCTCATGATACTGAGTGAGTTTCCACGAGATCTGCTTGTTTAAAAATGTGCTGTAATCCCAGCACTTTGGGAGGCCAAGGCGGACGGATCATGAGGTAAGGAGATGGAAACCATCCTGGCTAACATGGTGAAGCCCCATCTCTACTAAAAATACAAAAAATTAGCCGGCCATGGTGGCACATGCCTGTAATCCCAGCTACTTGGGAGGCTGAGGCAGGAGAATCACTTGAACCTAGGAGACGGAGGTTGCAGTGAGCCGAGATCGCACCACTGCTCTCCAGCCTGGGCGACAGAGAGAGACTCAGTCTCCAAAAAAAAAAAAAAGTGTGTAGCACCT